CCCAGGCCCCCCCCCCCAGCCCCCCAGTCTGCGGCCGCACCGCCGGTGGGGCCGGGGTCCCAGGAGCGGCCCCCGCGGCTCTGGCCCGCTCGTGCCCACATCCCAGAGTCCCGCTCCAGCACGCAGGTGGTCGGCCTGCTCTGCTCGGGGAGGCAAGGGCGGCAGGGCCATCCGAGTGGGGTCTCCGGAGTCGCCGGCACACGTTGGCGGCATGCTGCCAGTGAGCGCCAGGCACACACGTGTGGCCGTGGGCGGCCTCTTCCAGAGTCCCTGCTCGGAGCTCAGGGTCGAAGTAGTGGGGTGCAGGCTCCTCCCTGCCGTGCCCTCCAGTCCTCCAGCCGCGCTCTGACCGCCACCCGTGCCGCCTCCCCTTTTCCTTCTTCCCAAAGGCGTGTGCACGCACGCGAGTGGCCACGCGCCCCGGGAGCCCCTTCCGGTCCACTCCAGCGACCGCATCCACGGTGAGAGCGGCTCAGCCGTGGGGCAGCCACAGGGTGGGTGGAGCAGGGCGGCTGGTCCCCGCTATGCTGGGACGTACGGGCTGTGATGGGTGACGCCGCACACACGCGCTCAGGTGCTCCGCGGAGGTGCCGGCCCGCTCGTTAATGCAGGAGGCGCCGGTGCCAGCCCGCACCCACCCGCCTCGAGGCCGCCCCACCTGCTCCGCGTCCTCCCTGGAGTCCTGGGCTTGCGGCCTTGTGCTCGCGGGAGTTTTAACTGAGGTACGAATCGCATCCGTTGAAACACGGCGATCTTCAGGAAGCGGCGTGAGCAGGTTTGATAACCGTGTGTGCAGGTGTAACCCCCGGGCCCAGGCGGCCAACGTTCACCCCCAGACCCCAGGAAGCCGCACCTCCGCCTTCTTCCAGCCTATCCACACCGTCTGTCCGCGTGCAACGAGCTCTTGGGCTTTGACCACCAGGGATTAGTTTTGCCTTCGGGTTACGTGGAGACAGACAACGTGCTCCTTTGTGCCGTGCTCGCTTCAGCAGGTGCCTGAGGTGCGTCCACATGCCTGCGTGTATCGGCGCTCCTCCCGGGCGGTGGGGTTGCTCCCGGGCATCCGCGGTCATCCTGGCATCGGCGCCCCTCCTGGTGTCCGCGGTGCTCCCGGCATCAGCGGTGTTCCCGGGCATCTGAGCTCCTCCCGGCGTCGGCGATCCTCCGGCGTCCGCGATCCTCCAGCCGTCGGCTGTGCTCCAGGCATCCGCGGTCCTCCCCGCATTGGCAGTCCTCTAGCATCGGTGCTCCTCCCGGTGTCGGTGGCGCTCCAGCATTGGTGTTCCTCCCGGGCATCTGCACTCCTCCCGGCGTCGGCAGTGCTCCTGGGCATCCATGGTCCTCCGGTGTTGGCGGTCCTCCCGGTGTCCACGATGCTCCCACATTGGTGCCCCTCGCGGGCGTTGGCGGTCCTCTGAGCATCGCTGAGGAGTTAACCAGTCCACAGACCCCATAGGCTGTCCATTCTCTCGATAGACCTTTGCGTTTGCATCATTCTTACTCTGAATAAAGCTGCTATGAACATTGCTGGACAATTCTTCGTGGACATTATTTTCGTTTCTCGTGGGTAAACATCTGGACATACGGTACCTGCGCCATGGTGTTGTATACTTAACTTGACAACTGCCAAGATTTTTCCCAAAGCGGTGATAACAGCGTTCATGCCCGTTGGCAGTGTGTGAGGGTTCCAGTTTGTCCACATCTTTGCTGGCATCTGCTGGGGTCATTCTTCCCGTGAGCCGCTCGGATGGGTGTGTGCTGGCACCTCCCTCTGGGTTTCATTTGCATTTCCCTGATGCCTAAGGATGCTGAGCCCCTTCTCAGGTGCCGAGTGGTTGGTCACGTGCCTGTTCAAGTCTTCTCCCCATTTTGTATTGGGTGGCCTCTCTTGATTTGCAGGAACGCAGTACATATTGCGACACAGACCCTCTGACACACCTGAGTGCACTTGGTTGCCTGTCATCTGACGAGCAGGGTTGTTTTTTTTTTTTAATTTTTTTTTTTTTAATGTTTATTCTTGAGAGAGAGAGAGAGCATGAGCAGGGAAGGGGCAGAGAGAGAAAGGGAGACACAGAATCTGAGGCAGGCTCCAGGCTCAGAGCTGTCAGCACAGAGCCTGATGCGGGGCTTGAACTCACAAACTGTGAGATCGTGAAGTCGGACGCTCAACCGACTGAGCCACCCAGATGCCCCTGACCCGCAGGTAACATTCAATTAATTTTTTCTTTTATGGTTTGTGACTTTTTGTGTTCTTTGAAACATTTGCCCACCCCAAGGTCCCAATGATCTTCTCTTCTGTCTTCTGGAAGATTCAGTTTTACCTTTTGTTTGGCTCTGTAACCCGTCACAATGAGCTTCTGTCTGTGGTGTGAGGAAGAGGCTGACGGCCATCCCCCGCCATGTGTTCATCCTGTTATTCAGACGTCATTTGTTCAAGGCTCTTTTCTGTCCATCAGATGATAAATCCCCTGGCTGTGTCTCTCTGGGTCTGTTTCCTGGGGTGGCCCTCAATCTATCACCCCAGCATCCTGTCATTTCACTGAGGCTTAAAGTACAGTACAAACAAGTCCCTTTTGTTCTACATATTTTCTACTTTTTCAAAATAAAATTGTTTTGACTGTTCGCTTTAGTTTTAGAGTCAGCTTGTAAAAGTCTACCCCCAAAAAAGGCTGCTGAGATTTTAACTAGAATTGCATTGAATCTATTGATCAACCTGGGGATTTTCAAGCTGCCACAACACTACCACAGACGGTGCTTCAACAACAGAAAATCATTTCCTCACAGTTCCAGAAGCCAGAAGTCAGATCTGGTTGCCAGCCTCTTCCTGGCTTGTGGACGGCAAGAAGCCACCTCTCGTGGGCTCCATGGCCTTCCCTCTGTGTGTACATGGACAGAGACCCCTGCCTACTAGGGGGACACCAATCCTGCCGGACCAGGGTCCGGCTTGTGATGTCACGTGACCTTAGTCACCTCCAAGTACAGTCACCATGGGGGGGCAGTCAGGGCTTCAACACGAGTTTGGGTGAGGGGGACAGTTCAGTCCACAATGGAGATTTTAAAATCTCGACAATACTGAGGCCACCGGCCTTTGAACACGGGGTGTCTGTGTCCAGACCTCACCACGTTACAGTTCTCAGTTCTCTTGCTTATCCTAAGTGTTTCATGACCTTACTGCTGTTGTCACTGTCATCTTTAGATTTAACTTCCCATGTGTTCCAGTGTGGTTAACATATATGTAGCACTGATTTTGTTTATTGATCTCGTATCCTGTGACCTTTCTAAGCTCATTTGTTCTAGACGCTCTTTGGTAGGTTATAAAGCATTTTCTATGTGCGCGATTGTATCACCAGCAAACAAAGGCCATTTTGCCTTTTCCTTTCTCATCTCTATGGTTTTTATATCTATTTCTCCCCTTCCTGTGTGGGTAAAGCCTCCAGCACAGTGTGAACCAGGAAGGGAAGAAGGAAGTCCTGGACTTGTTTCAGATCTCAGGGGGAGGTGTGGTCTCCTGCCAGGAAGGACGCAAAAGACGATGTCTGCCGTACGTTTTCATGGGTGCAATTATCAGGTTAAGGAAGTTCACTCCTTGTTCCCTGAGTTATCATCATGAGGGCATTTTGAATTCTATCAAATGTTATTCTCTTCGTCTAATGAAAGTACTACAGGATTCTTCTCCTTTGCTTTGATAATGAAGGAGACAGGGAGGACTACACGATGGACCTTGAGTGGTGGACCAAGCCTCCCCTTCCTGAGACAAGCATCACTGGGTCATGGTGTAGGTTTCATATATCGCTGGATCTGACTTGCTGGTACTTTGCTGAACAAAGTGTCCATGACGTGCACTCTATTATTCTTTTAAGGTCTGTAAGATATGTAGTGATGCTTCCTCTCATTCCCAATACTGGTCATTTGTTTCTTCTTTTTTCTTGATGTCTACCCAGAGGCTTATCAATTTTGCAGATCATTTCAAAGAAACACCTGTTTGATTTTTTCCCCCTATTGTTTCCCTGTTTTCCATTTAATTGATTTCTCTTCTTTACTGTTTTCTTCTTCCCGCTTATTTTGGGTTTAATGGCTTCTTTTAAATTTTTTTTTAACATTGATTTGTTTTTGAGTGACAGAAACAGAGTGTGAGTGGGGGAGAGACAGAGAGAGGGGGAGACACAGAATCCGAAGCAGGCTCCAGGCTCCGAGCTGTCAGCACAGAACCCAATGTGGGGCTCGAACTCATGAACTGTGAGATCATGACCTGAGCCACACCCAGCTGCTCAACCAACTGAGCCACCCAGGTGCCCCTCTTTTTCTGGCTTAAGGGGAAGATTAGATAACTGCTTTGGGCCTTTCATTTCTACTATAAACCTCCCGTACATTTTTTTTTTTTAATTTAATGTTTATTTATTTTTGAGACAGAGCACAAGAGTGGGGGGTGGCAGAGAGAGGGAGACACAGAATCCGAAGCAGGCTCCAGGCTCCAAGCTGTCAACACAGAGCCTGATGCGGGGCCAGAACCCACAAAATGTGAGATCATGACCTGAGCCGAAGTCGGACGCTCAACCGACTGAGCTACCCAGGTGCCCCTGCGTACATTCTTATGTTGTTTTTATTTTCATGCATTTCAAAATATTTTATAATTTCATTGTGATTTTTTTTTCCTTTGACCCATGGATCACACAAGTCTGTTAGCTAATTTTCAAATACTTGGAGACTTTCCAAATCTTTTTGGTATTAAGTTCTAATGTAATTCTGTTAGAAAATCTACTGTGTCTGGTTCCGACCCTCTTAAATTTGTAGCGATTTGTTTTATGTCTGCCCTGATAAGTGTTCTGTGTGCACTTCTAAACAATATCGTCTGCCATCGGGTGGAGCGTCCTGCCAAGTGCAAACCAGGTCAAGTCCACGATGGGCGGTTAGTCTCTCCTACCCTTCCTGATCTCCTCCCTGCTGGTTCTTAAAGCTTACAGATGAATTTGTCTATGTCCCCTTTACGTCTGCAAGCCTTTGCTTCATTTATTTGTAATTTGTTATTAGGAGCAAGCACCCTAGCTGCCAAAATCTCTTATATAAAAGTCCACTTTGTCTGATGAGGGTCCGGCCAGTCTGGCCCTCACCTACTTAGTGTTAGTATGTTACATCTTTCTCGATTCTTTTGCTTCCAATCCAAGTCAAATTTGAAGTGAGTTTCTTGTAGACATTATACACTCGAGTCTTTTTAATTCAGTTGGACGACCACTGCCTTTCAATTGAGGTGTCTAGACCGTTGACGTTTAATGTAATTATTATTATTGCTGGATTTAAATCTGTGCCCTTTCTATTTGTCCGGTCTGTTTTCTGTTCCCTTTTTTGTCTTTACTTGACACCTCTAGACTATTTCAACATTATTCCTTTTTTAAAAAAAAAATAGTTTTAATGTTTATTTTTGAGAGAGTAAGACAGAGCTTGAGTGGGGGAGGGGCAGAGACAGAGGGAGACACAGAATCCAAAGCAGGCTCCAGGCTCCGAGCTGTCGGCACAGAGCCCGACGCAGGGCTCGAACTCACGGACCACACGATCATGGCCTGAGCCGAAGTCGGACGCTCAACTGACTCAGCCGCCCAGGTGCCCCCACACGGTTCCTTTTAATCTTTGACTTTTTAGCTACGCCTCTGTAGTTCAGTGTACATCTTGAACTTCCCACAAGGGCCTTCAAATACTGTATAACTTCATGTAAACACAAGGATCTGAGAAAACTGACTGCCTTTCTCCCTCCTCTGTCCTTTGCCCCAACTATGGCATATTTTCCCTCTACGGACATTCTGCACCCTGTGATACACTGTTACGCTTTCAATGAGCAGCCAATGATTTAGAAAAGAAATTTAGAACAAGACAGATCTTCCATTTACCCGTATTTGCCGATCCCAGTGCTCCCCCCAGCTTTTGTACATGTAGGTTGGCATCTGCGTTTGCCTTTCATCTGAAGAGCTTACTGTACCGACGCTCCCTCAGTCGACCTGCGGACGAGGAATTCACTCAGCCTTTGTCTGAAAGTGCTCCGTTTCAGCTCAGTTCAACTTTGGAGGGGTATTTCGTGGCATACACGGTTCTGGGTTGACAGTTTTTCTTTTAACTCTCGGTTTCATGCCTGTGGTGTCCTGGCCAAGAACCCCGCCGCTTGCTCTTTGTAACTTCGTGTGAGGCCCCTTCTCTTCCACTCCTGTTCGTCACTGCCTTCCCACACTTTGATCGTGACGGCCTTGGATGGGCTCGTGTTCCTTCTGCTGGGGTTCATCTCTGAAAGTCCCGCTTGGTTCTACCATATCTTCCAGGCCTCAACACACTCACCTGAGCTAACTCTGTGTATTCGGCATCCAATACAGGCGCCTGTTGCGTGCCCGATATCGTGAAACGAAACAAAGATGCCTGTTCTCGTGGAGCAGGTTTTCAGAGCAGAGAAAAGAAGGTACTAAGATTACAAACCTCGTGTGACAGGAAGTCTCGGTGCTTTGAGTGCTGCTAAAGCAGAGTTGCCTGAGGAAATGGCAGGAGGAGGCTTGTTACACAGCCAGCGAGGGGCCCTGCCCGGCTGGGAGCGGCCTTCCAGGCAGAGGGGCTGGCCCGCCCCGGAAGCCGGGCCCCTGGAGCAAAGCAGCCAGCTGGGGGCAGCACTGAGTTCCACCCTGGCTGGGCGAGGTGAGTGGACTCGAGGGGTGTGAGGACAGAAGTGGGGGCACAGGAGGCGGCTGCCGGGCCGCGGAAGCAGAAGGACTGACATCCTATCGGCTAAGACGAGGGCGGTGGGCAGGAGACGGGACCGGGCCGTGCAAACATCACAGGGCACTGGGGTGGACGCGGGTGTCGCAGGAAGAGGATGGGGCGCAGGGCAAAGCACAGACAGCTGTCTCCGGGAGTCCTGCTGCAAAAGAGGACCAAACCCGGAACGGCTGGGGGAGGGGCGGCATGCACACAAGGCTTTGGTTAGGACAGGAGAAACTGCTCTCCTGCCGCTGAGAACAGTCTAGTGGTGCGGGAACACCGAACCACAGCAGAGACGGAGGGAGGGAGGCTTGCTCCGAGTGGACCGCGGGCCGGGGTCAGGCGCCCCGCGAGGGCCGGCGTGCTTTCCGCTTTCCTTTTCTCTTCCAACAGCCGCTTTTTTGAGAGACAATTCATGTACCATAAATGCCACCGTTTGAAAACATACAACTCAGTGTTTTGTAACGGTCACGCGCCCCCGTCTCCACGCATCTGCCCTTTCTGGACGTTTTACGTAGGTGGCGTCACAATATTTGGCCCTTTTGTCTGGCTTCTTTCAGTGCCCTGCTTTTAAGGTTCATCCACGTTGTGGTGTGAAGCACAGACCCCACCGTCTACTGACGGACATCTGAGCCGTTCCCACCTTTGCCACTGAGAGCCCCACTGCTGTGGGCCTTCAGGTCCAGACGGTCCTGTTCCAGTGGGCCCTGTCTTTGGTGCTTTCCTCCCGTTCTGCAACCACCGGAGAGCCTAGAAACATCCAACCAGCTCGCTGTGCACCGGTGGAGACCCCCTCAAAGAGCCCAAAGCACGGGGGTGGGGGCCCAGTACCTGGGGTGAGGCAGGCCTTCCTGAAGAAAGGGCGAGACAGGAGCCAAAAGGGGTGATGGCCCCTCAGCCCTGGGGTGGAGGACACACAGCGCGCAGGCTCTAAGCAGGGGCGAGTGAGGCCACCAGCCTGGCCCCTACAGGACCCTGGGGTGCAGCAGGCCGCACAGGTGAGGAGGAAGCAGCTCACCAGGGCCGGGAACGTGTCAGGAGCAGACCCCCAGGGCCCTGGTCGGCCCGCTGGCCCCCGAGCCCACAGCCGCGGAGCCCGCGGAACCCCAGGTGCGCACAGGCCCGGCGGCTCCGGGCTCGGGCCGCACGAGGAGCGAGTCGCAAACCCGAGGTGTCCCCAGACTGAGTGAGGGGCCCCGGCGAGGCCAGCCGCAGCCTGCACTGCTCAGGGACAGGGGCGAGGGGTGTCCTGGGGAAGGACGGAGCCCGGCAGGGGCCCAGGCCAGCGCCTCCACTAGGGGTGCGGGCACCTGCGCGGAGTCCGACCACAGGGCGGGGGACTAAGGCCCGGCGCGCCGGCAGGTTCCCGGGGCCGGGTCGTGTCGCCCCTCCCGCGGCTGCACACGCTCCTCCGGGGACCGCCCCTTTCCACGCCGCCGACCCCCCACCTCAGCACCAGGAAAAGCCCCGGCCGGCCCCCGGCCCCGGGGGACCCCCCGCCCCTCGACCCCTCTGGGTAGCACGTGGGAAGCGGGGGCGGGGGGAGGGTAGTCTCCGGCGCCCCCAGTAGAAACGTGCACCGGCTCCCACCCGGGCCATCCCGTCCGATGGCAAGGACTGGGGATCTCAAACCCCTAGGCTACCGCGGCATGGAGACCGAGCTCGCACCCCTCGGGCCCGCTCCGCGTCGCCATGGCAGCCGGGCACACGGCCCCTTTAAGGACCTGCTGCGCCCGCCCGCTTCCTTTTTCTCTCTCTCTTAAGCAGTCCCGACCTGCCGGGAGCGCGCCTGCGTCACCGCGCAGGCCTCGGCCCCTCCCGAGCGCTCGCGCCTCGAGGGTCAGGGAGAGCCATTGGCTGCCGAGCTCGGGGGCACGTGACAGGAGGCGGGTTGGGCCTCCGCCGGAAGGGGCGGGCTAAGGTGACTGGTCCGCTTGCGCTGTAGGTGCGGTCGTCGCGGCGCTGACCTTCGTCCCCGCGCTGCCTGTGGCAGGGCGAGCCAATGACTGTGGTGATCTGCGGCACGTGACAGGGGCGGGTTCTCCGCCGGAAAGGGAGGAGCGAGGCGAGCGGCCTGGTTTCGCGGTACGTGTCGCGGTCGTCGCAATGCCGGCAAGGGGCTGCGGCCCAGCCGGGGTTCGGAGGGCGGGCCCGTTTCCCCCCCGCCACAAACCTCCACGCCCCGCCGGGCGTTTTCCCTCCTTCTCCCCGGGACATGCCCTTCCACCCCGGGACTCTCCGTCCCCCTGCTTTCTTCCTGGGACACCGTCCTCTCTTTCTCTTCTTCCTCCCTGGGACGCCCTTCCCTCTCCCTCCTCCCCGGACTTCCTCCGGCCTCCCCGTCTGCGTCCTCCCCCGCCTCCCCGCCCCGCCCGCTTTCTCCCTGGGACACCGTCCTTTCCTCTCTCTCTCCTTCCTCTCTTGGACGCCCTTCCCAACCCGTCCTCGTGATGCCATCTCCTCCTCCTCTCCCCTCCCTCCTCCTCCCGGGGACACCATTCCCTCCTCCCCGCACACCGCCCTCTTCTCTTCCTCCCAGGGTCGCCCTTTTCTCCTCCCCGCACACCAATCCCTCCTCTTCCCCTTCCTTCTCCACGGACACCCTTCCCTCCTCTTCCTCGTCCGGATGGGGATGCCATGCCTTCCTCCTCCCCGCACACCATTTCCTCTTCCTCTTCCCGTCCCCTGGAACACCTTCCCATGGTCCTCCTCCTCCCTGGGACTCCATTCCTCCCTCCTCCTCCTCCTTTTCCTTCCAGGACATTCCCTCTTCCTCCCTGAACACTGCTCTCTTCTGGGATGCCCCCTCTTCTGTCCTTGGCTCTGGTGCGCTGGGCTTAGAAACACTGGCAAAGTCCCCCCGGAGGGATCCATGATCAGTGGGAGGTGCTGGGAGGGCGCTCAGTTGAGCGGCTCCTTGCTCCTGCCAAGTGTGCATTGAGTGGAGTCAGTGTCCCTGACAAACGTTACTTTTCGAGAGCTCCTCCTGGCTCCCTGTACACCTGCTGGCCTCCCTCCTCCGAATAAAACAGCCTGCGGCAAGCCTGGCATCCGTGCTGCCCCCAGTCTCTGTCCACGCTTAGTGGCTGCGTTCCCCGGGCCTTCCTCCTCCCAGCCCGCATTCTCCCCTCACCCCCACCCTTTCCTCTTCTTTGTGCACACCTGCTAGGTGCTTAGCATTGGAGTGCTAGGTAGGTGCGCCTCTGCTGGCTTGCTCCTAGCCATTAGGCTGGCCCCTGAGTGGGTCTTCCGTTACCGAAGTCTGTAGCGAGAGGCTGCCTCGTGGCTTGGGAGTGAATAGTTGGAAAGGGAAAAAACGCCTGTCACGTTTGGGAAAAGCTAATCTAAATTTTATTTGCACGGTTATGTTCTGTCGCTAACGTGTTGCTGAGCATCCGTTGCTGAGCTCTGATCTGTGTGACTGTAGAGCTCCAGAATTAGTATTTTGTTGTTGTGCTTTTCCTAATTTACCATCGAAGAGGTCTCGTTGGCCGTGTCCAGAATATCACCTTGAATTGTTATGTTTCAGCATCGAGGCCATGTACCAGAGGCAAGGGCGTGGGGAGCCCAGCCTTGCAGCCCCCCACCCGGAATGCCCAGGAACCGGTGGAGCCCAGTAAACGTTTAATGACCTAGAGAACCTTCAAGTGCTAGGGGGTCATTTCTCGCCTCTCCCATACGTATTTCTAGACATGGATCAAACACTTTCAAAGTTGGTAGAAGAGCTCACGACTTCAGGAGAACCCCAACTGAGTCCTGAGAAAATGAAGGAACTGAAGAAAATTTGCAAGTATGTCTTCAGGCTCAGGATGTCATGCCGATCGATTGCTGGCTCCTCCAGCCTGTGACACCTGGGGGATTGTGGGGCTTCCCCTGGGTCGGTCAGGCCTCCCGCCACCTGCATGTCTCAGCCCTTCCCTGCCCCCCACCATCACGTCTCCGGAGGCTGTGTCCCCAGGGCCCTGCGGCGTCCAGGTCTGGCAGGCGGTCACTTTGTGGGGCAGTGGCCCCAGGGTGGGGGAGTGCGGCACGAAAGCTTTCTAAAGATTGTCGGTTCGGATCTGTTGAGAGCTTAAGTCAAAACTCGCCGATCGTCCTTATCTTGTATTTACAAAAAGGAAAGTTTAAGTGACTTTAAGTAGCGAAGTCTTTGCACGTCGACAAGATTTTCGGCTCAGGTCTCACTGTACGTCCCACAAAACTCCAAAACGGCAGTGGGTTTTTCTGCAGGGGAACTAACTGGGAAGAGCGACAGGAGGGCGGGCCCCAGGAGCCCCGTGACCTTTCCCTTTTGTTCCAGTCAGGTGGCTGCACCTGCAGGGGAGGCTGGGGGCTGTGGTGTCCCCTGGAGATGTCAGCTCGGACTTTGTGTAACGGGCCAGGTGGTGAATACCGTAGGCTCTGCGGGCCATAAAGTCTCTGCCGTGACCACTCAGCTGTGGGCGGTAGCAGCGAATGAGGTGAAGGTGCGGCCGCGGTCGTGTCCCAGTAAAACTTTATGGGCACTGACGCTGGATCTTGTGATTTTCACATGTCATCAAGTATTATTCTTTTGATTTGTTTCAGCCGTTAAATAGCGTGAAAACCGTTCTTGGCTCGTGGGGCCCGCAGAAACAGGCAGAGGCCCGAGGCAGCGGCCGTCCGCCCTGCCGTGGACGGAGGCGGGGGGTCGGGAGAGGGTGTGTCCCCACGCAGGGCACTGAACGAAGCGTCCCCGGGGAGTGGGCGCCCGGCAGGCCAGCACGGCTGCTCTCCCCAGGTCTTCGGAGGAGCAGCTCCGCCGCGCCTACCACCTGCTCATGGCCCAGCTGAGCCGAGAGCACGCCGAGGTCCGCCTCTCCGCCTTCCAGGTCATAGATCAGCTCTTCGCCCGGTCTCATCGGTTCCGGGTGCTGGTCGTCTCCAACTTCCAGGAGTTTCTGGAGCTCACCCTGGGCACCGACCACGAGCAGCCCCTGCCGCCCCCCAGGGAGGCGGCCCAGAGGCTGAGGCAGGCGGCCGCCAGGGCTGTCCAAGGATGGCACGGGAAGTACGGCGCCGCCTACAAGAAGCTCGCCTTGGGCTACCACTTCCTGAGACACAGCAAACAGGTGGGGCGGGCCTGCCTGGCGTCTCGCTGCCGGCCGGCGTGGTGGAGGGGCTCCCGGGAGGGGACGGCAGCTCTAAGACGGGGACGTGTGGACGGAGCGGAGCCTCCGGTCCTGACTTCCACAGGAAGCGGAAACGAGGGAGAGTCAGCTTCTCGGACGCGGCCCTGTTCTGTGGCCCCGAGCTTGAGTCCCGCCTGGCTCTGCCGTGGGCTCTGGCGGTCCTGGCCGCGTGAAACCCGCCGGGCCGGGCCGGGCCCTCCTCCCCGGCAGCCCCCGCCTCGGCCAGGGCCGCTGGCCAGTCCCCCTGCAGCCTGAACGTGCCGCTGCTCGTCCGGGGCCCCAGGGGCCGTGCTGCTTTCCCACGTGGCGTGTGCTTCGCTGGAAGTGCTGCTGGCCCTGATCCCGTCAGGCCCCAGGGGCACAGAGGGCCGTGTGCTGGTGCCGACACGCCTTCTTCTGGGTTTCTGTCTGACTTACTGTGTTTTCCACGTGTCTCGTGTAGTCCGGTCTAACCTCTGATTCCTCAGGTGGATTTTGAGGATGTGAGCGCACGGACTCTGGCAGAAAGAAAGCGGGAGGAGGAGAAGCAGAAACGCTTGGACAGAATCTACAGGGAGAGGTGTGAGCGGGCCGTCAGGGACATGGAGGGTGAGTTCTCCCCACCCCGTGGGGCTGCAGGTGGGTAGACCGCTGGCCTGACCTTGGCAGCAGCCCCCAGCCCGTCCCCAGGAAGCTCCGGGTGGGCCCTCCTCTCCTGCGCCCCCTGGTGGTGTTGTCTGAGAACGATGCTCCCCATAACGTCCCGTAGGTGGGGCAGGGGACAGCTCTTGCTGGCACCCCTACTTCTGAAACCTGACCCTTTTCTGAGCAGCTGGCCCTTTCCACGAGGGGCAGCCAGGGTGAGAGGAACTCGAGAGGAAGGCCCCAGCTGGAGGCGCTTCTGGGCCCCAAGGCAGGTGCTGGCTGGAGTGCGGTCCGGCTGGAGGGCTGGGAAGGGTGTGCGTCCCCACGGCTCTCAGCTGGCCGCTCTCTTCCGGAAGTTCCGCCCACGGTGGCCTACCCCGCTTGGTACTCACGGGGCTCCCGTGAGCCTCCCAGAAGTCCAGGCGTGAGGGTGTTACTGAGGATGTCACGGGGCGGGTCGTGGGGTGCTGCACAGTCGGGTGGTTTCTAAGAGACGACAAAGCCTCCATGCGCCCAGGGCTGGCCTCTGTCCGGGGCAGGAAGGAGGGGCGGGCGGCCCTCCCTCTGACCCTGGGCTCTGCCTGAGGGGAGGTGCCGCTGCTTGTCATCATGACCCAACAGGCAGTTCCTGCATCTTTGCAGAAACGTCTGAGGAGATCCGGTGCTGCCTCACGGAGGTGGAGAGCTGCTTCAGGCTGCTGGTGCCGCTGGACTTGGCCGAAGGCCCGGGAGCCGCCTTGCCCACCGTGGCCTTCGGTGCATCTGAAGGGGGCGCCCCTTGCCTGGCCGGTGCCTTGAGGCCTGGGGACGAGGAGCCCTGTTGCAGCAAGAGCCTGCTCGCCTGTGCCCGCCCTCCGTCTCCCCTTCCCTGGACCGCAGGGGACTCAGGGGAGGAGGACGAGGAGGACGAGGACCGGCATGAGGACAGCGACGGTGACAAGGAAGGGTTTGTGCGGCGCCACGGACTGGGCTCCCACAAGTACACGCTAGATGTGGAGCTCTCCTCAGGTAACCACCGGCTCCCGTGGGCTGGCCGTGGGCCCTAGGGGTGCTGGCAAGAGCTCAGACTTCTCGGGACGTGGCAGGGCCGGTCCTCCGAGGTTGGGGTCCCGGGTGACTTGAGGCTCTGGGTCCCACGGCCCCACCCGGGGTGCTCCTTGAGAGGGGCTGCTGCCACAAGTGGCCTGGAGCCCTGCAGGAGGCTGTGGGGCCTGGTCCTGGGCCCGTCGGGATCGGAGGGTGGCTGTCCGCCCTGATCTGGAGGAAACGTGTTTGCGGAGCGGCTTCTCGCCACGTTGGCGACGACACAGGTGTGCCGCACGGGACCCGCCGTGGCCTGGCCCCCTGTGCGGGGTGTTGGGTGGGTTGAGAGCCCCTCGGGGGTGTTTACAGAGGAAGGGCAGTCAGGGCACGGGGCTGTGTGAACACCCCACACGCCCAGGCATCTCGAGCCCCACCAGCCCCAAGGAGCTGCCCGCTGTCTGGCCGGGCCTGGGGCAGCACGAGGAGGGGACCCGGCCGCAGAAGGGCTGGGGGCGGGACACGGAGGGAGGACCCTGGGCCCGAGCTGAGGCTGGGGCCTCCGTCCTGAGAGCTGTCAGGGGAGGGGCTTCAGGGCCGCCGCGGGCGGGCCGGGCGTGTGGGCTGGGGCGCATGTGTCTGTGAGGACACCGGGCCGGGCGTTGGGGTCGGGCTGAAATGATTTCCACCAAAATCTTAAAGTAGTGAACGTCTTTCTGTGGCATCAGGCGTGGGGTCCTGGGCGACACGTGGCTGGGGGCCGACGCACAGAAGCGCGGGTGGTCCATCCGTGGTGCTGGGTGACCTGCCCTGCTTCCTCGGGTGACCCCGTGTGCTTTGATCCAGATGGCCTGAGGGTGCACGAGGACGAGGACAACCACGCCGTCATCCAGTCTGCCCGGGACGCGCTCAAGCTTATCCGAAACAAGTTCCTGCCGGCCGTGCGCTCCTGGGTACAGGTGAGGCCCGTCTCCACCGCGCACACGTGCTCAGGTGCAGGCCAGGGTCAGGGTTGTGCAGTGGCTGACCCCTGGGGTGGAAGGGGAGGGCGCCCTGGCCTGCCCCAGTGATGTGCCTCCTTGTCGGCAGCTGTTCACCCGCGCGGGGATTCGTGGCGGGCACTTGGAAGCCGCCATCAACCTGAAGGCGGAACTGGAAACTGCCCTGAGGAGATCTGGGGAGCTGGACATCGAACCTGAGGAGGGACGCAGGGGGGAGGTGAGTGCCGCCCGCGGGCTGGGGCAGAGGCGACAGCAAGGAGATCTCCTCTTTGGCCTGTGGTCGGTTTTCTGAGCGGGAATGACTGGGGGCTCAGAGACGTTCTGGTTCTTGCCTCATCGGGTGCTCAGTTCCCGAAACGGAAGCTTTGGTTTGGAAGGTCAGAGGGCGCAGCTGAGGCCCCCTGGCCGCTGGAGGGCTGGGACGGGGTCTGGGGCAGGAGGGCGTGGCAGGTGAGCTGAGGGAACAGTCAGAAGGTTCTGGTCGGGAGGGAGGTCCCAGGGCCCCGGAAGAAGAGGAGGAAGAGGCCAAGGGCTGAGCTGAGACCTAGGCCAGCCCTGCTGTCCCCTGAACCTCCCCGAGCGCCCCAGCGGAGCCTCCCGTGAGCTGGTGTCAACCTTCCAGGCTTCGGGGTCTCATCCTGTTGCCTGCGTCGTAGCCAAGGACACACAGAGTTAGGATGCCTGTGGCAGACAGAAAATCAGGACTTTTGTTCCAGGCTTGTGCAGAGGGCGGTGTCCCTGGTAGTGCCCCACGGAGGAGCTCCCCGGCCGCCGGGCGGGCTGAACGTGCGGCTGGTGCCTAATTTGGGGAGGGTGGTTGAGGCCGGGTGTGGCTGGTCGTGGCGCCTCACAGATACTGGGTGGTTTGGTGGGGGAAGCTGGTGCTCTTGAGCGCCGTGTCCCCAGGCAGCAGGACAGGCCCGCACTTGGTGATGGTGCCCGAGTGAAGGCCGCCAGCCCCTGAGACAGCAGGCATCATGCGGCCACCCTGAGCCTTAAAGACCGTGACTTCCGGGCCCCCGTCCGGTGGGTCTGGGCCAGGACCTGGAACTTAACATCCGAGAGGGATTTGAGAGCCGTGTCCTCTGCGGGTGTCCTCAGAGACTGGGCGCGGGCCAGCAGGGAGACGCAGCCGTAGCCAGACCACGGTGGGGCCAGCACAGCACCGCTCTCTCAGAACCGAGAAGGCAGGCCCCAGAGTGTCCTTCTCCGCCGGGTGCCGGGACCCTGAACCTGGGCTCCAGCCTGGGAGCCGGACACCAGCTTCACCTGCAACCCCAGGACCCCGGAGGGAGGAGGGCGGGGCTGCGCTCCAGGGAGACACAACTGTTGCTAGAGGAAGCTCTAGGGTGGGAAGAATGGCGTTGCCGGGCTGGGAACAGCAAGTCCAGAGCCACCGAGACCTAGGACAGACAGCGGCCGACACCCCCGGTCTCGGCACCTAGTGACCTTGTCCCCTCCGGGGCCACTAGACGCCCTCCAGGCCGCCGCCCTTCGTGTGGGAGGGGCCCGGGAGAGGGGTGACTGCGCAGCGGCCCCCAGGGACCGGCAGAGGGCGACCTTGCCTTTCTCCCGCAAGGCCTCAAGAGGGTGAGGAAAGTTCCTGACCTGGCGCTGAGATCCCAGCCCGGCTTCTGTGGGTGCAGCATTCCACGGAGGACCCTGCTCGGGTGTGTGCCCTGAGTAAGAAGTTAGTTTTGTGAAAAAAGATACTCTTCTTGCAACGAAAGAAGGTGGTTTTCTGGTGTCGGGAAGGAGGTGATGTGGTCAGCTCGTTCCCACATGTGCAGAGGGATTTCTTTTGGAACGTGAGGTGACCCGGGGTCACGGTGCCAGAGCGCAGGCTGGCCTGAGAGCAGGGACGGGTGCCGGGGCCTTCGCAGTGCTCTGGGGCCCGCCTCTTTCCTGCCGGAGGCCCAGCCGGGCTGGCTCCCGCTTTCCCTGTAGCAGGTGCCCTCGCCCGCCCTCGGCGGCGGAGCCGGGCGGGGCGGGCAGAGCCACCCAGGTGCCTGAAGCCGGCAGGCACCACCCTCGCCTCGAGGCTCTAGGGCCCCCAGGGGAGGAGAGGCCGGCTGCCCTGTCCGTGGCTGCTGCAGCCCCGCGGCCCGGGGGCCCACGGGGCTCAAATCTGAAGGCAGGCTGCCGACAGCAGCCAGGATGGGTCCTTTCTCCAGCAGAGGCCACAGGCCGGTGGAGACTGAAGGGCTCAGGCTCCCCGTGTGGAAGGAGCCCTGCCCTGGGTGCCCTGTGGGTGCTGGGCTGGGGCTGTGCCCC